CAGCAGATGAGTGGATAAAAAAAACTATGGTACATTTACACAATGGAATACTGAGGCAATAAAAAACAAAGAACTCTTACCATTTTCAACAGCATGGATGGACCTAGAGAGCATTATGCTGAGAGAAATAAGCCAGTCAGAGAAAGATAGGTATCACATGATCTCACTCATATGTAGAATCTAATGAACCAAATAAACTGATGATCAAAAATAGTCCCAGAGTCATAGAAGCATGAACAGACTGTTGAACCTCAGAGGGAAGGCAGGGGAGGGCTGGTGGGAAGAGATCAACTAATGAACTTGTATGCATATATGCATAACCTGTGGACACAGACAATGGGGTGGTGAGGACCTAGGGTGGAGAGGGGGGTAGATGGGAGTGGGCTAGAAGAAGTTAATGGCAGGGAAAAGGAGGACCTGTGTAATAGTTTCAACAATAAAGATTAAAAAAAAAAATTCAGTGCCAGAAGCAGGAGACAGCAAGGCAGAGACTATAAACTCCTTGCTATTCATATGTGTCCTCTGCATTGTCTAATGCACATAAGAGGACACTGAGATTGTGACTGGGCCATTTCTTTTCTTTTTTGTTTTTAATTAAATCTTTATTGTTCAGATTATTACAGTTGTTCATCTTTTTCCCCCCACATAGCTCTCCTCCACCCAGTTCCCACCCCACCCTCTGCCATTACCCCTCCCACTGTCCTCATCCATAGGTTTACGATTTTTGTCCAGTCTCTTCCTGCACCCCCACACCCCTTTCCCCCCAAGAATTGTCAGTCCACTCCCTTTCTATGCCCCTGGTTCTATTATATTCACCAGTTTACTCTGTTCATCAGATTTTTTATTCACTTGATTTTTAGATTCACTTGTTGATAGATATGTATTTGATGTTCATAATTTTTATCTTTACCTTTTTCTTCTTCCTCTTCTTAAAGAATACCTTTCAGCATTTCACATAATGCTGGTTTGGTGGTGATGAACTCCTTTAGCTTTTTCTTATCTGTGAAGCTCTTTATCTGACCTTCAATTCTGAATGATAGCTTTGCTGGGTAAAGTAATCTTGGTTGTAGCTTCTTGCTATTCATCACTTTGAATATTTCTTGCCACTCCCTTCTGGTCTGCATAGTTTCTGTTGAGAAATCAGCTGACAGTCGTATGGGTACTCCCTTGTAGGTAACTGACTTTTTCTCTCTTGCTGCTTTTAAGATTCTCTCTTTGTCTTTTGCTCTTGGCATTTTAATTATGATGTGTCTTGGTGTGGTCCTCTTTGGATTCCTTTTGTTTGGGGTTCTCTGTGCTTCCTGGACTTGTAAGTCTATTTCTTTCACCAGGTAGGGGAAGTTTTCTGTCATTATTTCTTCAAATAGGTTTTCAATATCTTGCCCTCTCTCTTCTTCAGGCACCCCTATAATTCGGATGTTGGTACGCTTGAAGTTGTCCCAGAGGCTCCTTACACTATCTTCATATTTTTGGATTCTTTTTTCTTTTTGCTTTTCCGGTTGGGTATTTTTTGTTTCTTCGTATTTCAAATCTTTGACTTGATTCTTGGGATCCTCTTGTCTGCTGTTGGATCTCTGTATATTATTCTTTATTTCAGTCAGTGTATGCGTAATTTCTAGTTGGTCTTTTTTCATATCCTCCAGGGTCTCACTAAATTTATCGGCGGTTTCCAGAAAATTCTTGAAAAACCTTATAACCGTGGTTTTGAACTCTATATCCAGTCATTTGCTTTCCTCCATTTCTGTCATTTGTGATCTGTTTCTTTGTCTCCGCATTTTGGCTGCTTCCCTGTGTTGGTAGAGTGGCTTTGTGTGCTAGGTGTCCTATAGAGCCCAGTGGCTCAGCCTCCCCAATTACCTGCGGTGGACACTCTTGGTGCACCCCTTTGTGGGCTTTGTGCACAGTCTTGTTGTAGTCTTGTTGTAGTTAAGCCTTGATTGTTGTAGGTATCACTGGGAGGAATTGACGTCCAGGCCAATTGGCTGTGAGAATCAGCTGTGTCTACAGTGGGAGAACCTCTGTGCTGGAAACACCCTTATGGGGCAAGACTTGCTTCAGTGGGGCTTTAGTGCTCACTGAGTCTGCCCCCTGAGTGTGTCCCTTATGGATCTGAGGAGTTGTAATCTGGATGGTCTCACTCTGACTACTGGGCACACTGGCACTTGGATCTCTAAGGAGGTGCTAATTTAGCCTCTTCCTGAGGCTACCAAGCAGGAGCTACGAAGAGATCTACAGATTCCCCTTCCTTTTTTGGGGTTTGGAGGTGCCTAGATGAGGCCCAGCTGTGAAGCAATGCAAGCTGCTGTGGGGCCTTGGGCCTTCTCTTGGAAGTTCTGGGTCCGTTTGGCCCAGCTGCAGTTTGTTAGGTAATTTTCAGATTGCAAAGGGCCAGGGCATTCATATGCAAAAGCCTCTGCCACAGCCTGGGTGGGGCGGGGTCTCAGGGAATCAACAGGGTGGAGCAAGCAGCTATGGCTCATCCTCAGCCCTGCCCTAAGGGGCCCCGTGTCTCAGTGTCCCGGTAATTGCTGCAAGCACCTCTGAGGGAAAGCCGCCCTCAAGTTCCGAGTTCTGCCCGCTGCCAGACAGTCCAGTTTCTCCCTGTATAAGTCCTGGGTCCCCAGAGACTTCCCGGAACTGGAGTTCAGAGCATTCGGGAGCTTGTGACTCCCTCCTGATTCAAAAAGACAGCCGCGTCCTCATGTGCCAGCCCCTTTCCGCACGCTCGATCCTCCGTACCTCTGCACTTTACTTCCGCAGCTCCTCTGAGTCTCAGTGTGCTTTTCTCTTTCCTTCTAGTTGTAGAATTTCCACTCAGCCAGCCTTCTTGTGGTTCTGGATGATGTCTGTTTTGTCTTTTAGTTGTATTTTTGAAGTGGTTGTGCGAGGCAGCAATTTCCGGTGTTTACCTATGCCGCCATCTTGGTTTCTCCGCCATTTCTTTTCTGAATAACTAGAGGCCCAGTGCACAAATTTGTGCACCAGGGAGGTCCCTCAGCCTGGCCTGCAGGATCAGGCCGAAACCGGCTCTCTGATATCCCCCGAGGGGTCCCGGATTGTGAGAGGGCACAGGCCAGGCTGAGGGACCCCACCATTGCATGATCGGGGCTGGAGAGGGACGCGGGAGGTTGGCCAGCCAGTGAGGGACTGTTGGAGGGCTCCAGGGAGTGTCCGGCCTGTCTCGCTCAGTCCCGATCGGCCAGACCCCAGCAGCAAGCTAATCTACCAGTCGGAGCGTCTGCCCTTTGGTGGTCATTGCACATCATAGTGAGCGGTTGAGCGACCTTAGCATATCATTAGCATATTACACTTTGATTGGTTGAACAGACAACTGGACACCTAGCATATTAGGATTTTATTATACAGGATATTTTTTTAAAGAGTGGGCCACTTCTGCTCCGTTGTTGGCATGTTGGCCCTGGGACTAAAGGATCTTGGGTTTGATTCCGGCCAAGGGCATGGACCTTGGTTGCAGACTCAATCTCCAGCAGGATCGATCAGGGCTCGAGGGGGAAGGCAACCAGTCCATGTTGTTTCTCTTTTTGTGTCTCTCCCCCTCCCTTCCATTATCTCTAAAAAATCAATGAAAAAAATATCCTCCAGTGAGGTTTAACAACACTAAGAAAAAAGTGAGCCACTTCTGAGTGCCTGAGGACCTAATTAGTTTACTTGCAGTAAACACATCAAACACAATCTGTATCTTTTAGCAGTCCAAATGTTTCCTGGTGTTTCACACTCAGAGCAATCTCAAGCTTAACATCTAGCCTGGAGCAGAGGTAAATGGGTCAGATGTAGAAAGTTGATTTAAATTCGAGTTTAAGGTTCTTCTACAAATGCTGTTTTAAACAAGGTCATTGCTTAACTACAACAGTATGATAATGCAAAAATGACATCTACCATGGAAGGAAAATGCAGTGCTTTGAGAACCTGAAAAGCAGTTAAGTACAAGGCCTTGCATTTACTAGTACATTTCTGGGGTACCTGGACCTTTTGGAGGACTGATTTTTCTTATGCACAGGAGCAAATTGAATACGTCCTATGTGGCTTTATTCTACTTTCACCTCTGCAGTAAATGCCTTTTCTATGAAGAGCTCCTGGCTGATGGAGAATCAAAAGTTATCAGTATGTTGCTGGCATTTCTTAAGAGTATTAGTAGGAGTCCATAGTGACTTCAAAAGCCAGGCTACCTAGGGTGTAGTCAGGCCTTGAGGCAAGGTTCTACATTAATGTTGCTCAGTGCCCATAAAATTGTATCTCTGTTAGATTAGATAATATTAAATCTTAATGGCTGTTAAGCAAATAAATATGTGTAAGAAAATGACAATCCACATAATTATATAACTTTTTAAGCACCATTTACTACTCAAGAGTGAATAGATTTTCTTCTGCCTATGCCAGCGCAAACCAGTTGTTCTGGTGCAGTCCATGGGCGAAATTATCCTCTTTACTCTGAAAAGCTAATAAGGAACAAAGGGCACGAAACAGTAACCATCAGAGTGGATATGAGATTTGTTGGTCTTATATCTCTGCTGGTAACAATCTTACTTTGGTCTCAGGCTCCAGGTAGAAAATGAGAAGTCTCTGGGGTGAGCGGTAAGGGGTGAGGGGTGAGGGGTGGGTGAGGGAGGGTGGCGAGGGGTGTTGGGAGGAGTGGGGACGGGCAGGAGAAACGAGGTGACCAACGCTGGTAGGCCCCCCGCACCGCGGTCCCAGAGAGGGGCTTGGTCTCCGACAGAGACAAGCCTGCGGTTTCGCAGGAAGACATAGAAGACAGCCGGGTCAGGGGCCATAGGGCTCTGGCTGCGAGGTGCCGGCCGCAAATTTCGGCGCAAGGGACCGCGTGGTGGGCCGCGCTCCCGCTTTGGCGCGGGCTCCCAAAGCTGCCGGGGCGCGTGGCAGCAGCGGGCGGCGGGGGCGGGACCGCGAGCAGGACGGCTGGCAGCTTTCCAGGTCGGCGCACTAATATGGGCGCTGAGGCTTCGCGGCTCCAGCCTGACTGACGCCGGCTAGGGCCGGGGCTGGGGCCGCTGCCACCGCTGCAGCCGCAGATTTGGTCCCCACCTCCAGCGTCAGGGACAGCAGCCACGGGGCGCGCGCAGCTAGGCCGTGAGTGCTCGGGTGCTCGGAG